AATAAAATGATTATGGCAGATGTACAGCTTGTTTTCTAAGAAATATTATTTTTCAAAACAAACACCTAAAAGAAAAAAAAAAAGAAAAATCTACAATGACAGAACAAATAAAACTTAGTTACTACAAATAGCAAAAGAAATGAGCTTCATACATGTAAACAATCATCCACATGCTAAAACATTATTTATAGCATGCTGTCTAACAAACACCTGAAAGCAGGTTATCATCATGACACACAAATAACCTCAAGAGTTTGGATTCTCACCTGTTTGCCTGTGTACATGTACGACGAGGACAATGATGATGACCCCGATATGTAACTTTTGGATCTCTACGACTCGAATGTGAATCAGAATTCAAAGCAGGCAAAGTAGGACGCTTTAATTTGAAATCAAAGCTTTGAAAGCTGTTCGACCACGCGAAGTTCATGAAACAAGACGATTCTCGCCAGCCAAACGCTTTTCAAAATATGGACAATCAAAGCTGAAAGCCTTTGGGTACAATCAATAGCAAGTTCCCTGTAGCTGTTCCCGTGGGCAAGGGTGTAATCCGATGTCAGTTTGCTGAAAGCTGAAATATGCTCGAAGGATTTGTAATATAAACACACGATGTTTACATACGGTGGACATCCCAAACGGCGCTTTCAGTAACTTCACGCACAGAGTTTTGAAGGCAATTAAACAGTAGGTTTCATAAGTTTCATTTAAGGTTTCTTGCTATATTTGATTATTTCTACGAACAGCAGTCTTCTAGGTCCTAGTAGTTTAGCATCTCTCTCTCTCGCTCAGCCGCCGTGCATCGATCGATCTTCAATTTTCTCGGGTTTGCGCAGGCGCAGTTACGCAAAACAGGCCACATTACGTCATTATCCACTAGCCAATCACCGGTTTTTGCGCTCTGTCGACAGCGCAGAACATTTCATATTAATTAGTCTAATCTGTTTTTCTAATTCCTCTGGATATTCGTCCGTTCTGCAGTAGGAAAGGAAATCAAGCTCCGACTACATTACAGAAATGATATGTACGTACGTTAAGCTTATTGCAGTGTGCCTTTAATTCAAAGAACACCTCCTTTGCTATACTAAGGTCAAGATAATATTTTGTCATATGCCTTTATTTCATTAGACCACTGATGGCAGTGCACAAAGCCAGAACTGAATTGCTTATGAGTCTTTTGGGCTGCATGCAAAAGGCAATTTTTTTAATTCTGTAAAGATGATAGAGCAAGTACTCTTTCCAATCTACGTTTTCTTCCACTTAATTAATGCTTAAATCATGCTTAGATCATTCGGAGGCCTTCTTTTAATTTTTATTTTAACAGTAAGAATTGGGCTGTGAAAGAAAAGGTTATGTGGCCGACTTGTTACAAATGTTTTGTACGAAGATATTCTCATCCTAACAGTCCTTGGTTGGCTTCCCGTCGCGCGGCATTTAGACAAAGATAAACAAGGGGCTCTGGGGTTATTTATAACTGATGAACAGTTAACAAAGAAGCAGCTTTTGCACAAGTTTTCTTGATAAATAATTATGTTATCTGATCACTACGTAGGGTAGCACAATGTTCTCAACCTTTTATACAATGAAACTTAACTGTTTATAATTAGGCATACAATATGTGAAAACTGGTCTAGATTTTTTGACGATCTTAGGGACAACTGAGGTGTTAATAAATAAAATGATAAATGAACAACAGCTTAGAGTAGTCTATTTTGCATCATACTGGAGTAAGTGGTTGTTGATGATAACAACTGGATTTTGCAGTATGTCACCTTTGATAGGATGGATAACATCATAGCTTGATCAACAGTATATCATAGTGAAGCATAGGGCATCTTAGTTTACTTGGTTATTGACAAATAATTATGAGCAAAATTAAAACTTGCTTCCACTGGTCAATGATTCAGTTCTGGTAAAACCTTTTTCCTAGTTGGAGGCCTCATGTTATAACACAAAATAATGAATATTAAGGGAACTAAAAAATTATACATTATCAAAACCTGTGAGCAGATATTGTACTTTAACTCTATAAGCACCACATTCAGTTTCAATACAACTGCAGAGGGTGGGGCACTACACCCCAAAAATCTGTTCAGGTTCACCCCGCACTATGCTTCTTGCCTTGCTAAATTTTGACCAAAGTTCTACTGAAGCATAGGGCATCTTAGTTTACCTGGTTATTGACAAATAATTATGAGCAAAATTAAAACTTGCTTCCACTGGTCAATGATTCAGTTCTGGTTAAACCTTTTTCCTAGTTGGAGGCCTCATGTTATAACACAAAATAATGAATATTAAGGGAACTAAAAAATTATACATTATCAAAACCTGTGAGCAGATATTGTGCTTTAACTCTATAAGCACCACATTCAGTATCAATACAACTGCAGAGGGTGGGCCACTACCCCCAAAAAATCTGTTCAGATTCACCCCGCCTTATGCTTCTTGCCTTGCTAAATTTTGACGAAAGTTCTATCCCCAATTTCAAACCTTGCAGGTCTTGCTCTCCAGTCTCAAAACATGATGAGTGCAGCTACCCAAGAAAATGCTTTTGGGTTGTGTGTTACTCAAAGTGTACTCCTTAACGGGGGGATCTCTTAAAGCATACAGTCTATATACAGTGCATATATCACTTTTAGATTTCACTGTTCCAGATAAGAAAGTACAGCTATATAGCTTATGATAACCCGTTCTAGGCATTCAAATAGTGAGAAGAAGAGCATTAAAAGAAGCAGGTTTTTTTAGTTTTGTTCTCTTGGCATCTTCCCCAATACCTGAATGTCTGGCACAGGCTACCATAAACTACTGCTTTTAAGCCTCTCCCCCCCCCGAACTTATAAGCCCCCCAGTTATAAGCTTATTTACCAGTGAACAAGAAAAAATGACCCCCTGGTTATCAGCCCTCCCCTAAGAAAAAAAAAACTTAAAACCCCTTACAGAGATGTGTAACCCATGAGCTCATATGTGGTACTTAAACAGGTTTCTCTCTGGATGCATTTGCATAATTACCATCACTTCCTACTAAACCAGTGTCCTGGGAAACACTTTTTATCAGTAACCGGTGAACAAAAGAATATATAACTGTTTATACCCCTACAACAGAGGTGACAAGAGCTCACCTATACTGTGAAAGTCACAAAACTACGAATCCCACAAATATTAAGGAATGCTATTGCATTGTAAAGAAAAAGCTAATAAGGGGTGAGCAAACAAAACCTCAAACTGCAATGGAAATTACTTTGTGGTTTTGAGGTTTTGTCATACATTTTTACTAAACATTATGGTGATTGGTAACTACACAATCAAAGTTTTTCAGGTATTAATGATTTTCTGAGTCTGACAGCAAAATTATTGAAAACTCTCTCTTTGAGGTACTGATGATAATTTTAGTTAGCAGATAATACCTGAAATCTTTAGGAGGATAGACCCTTTTAGCAGAACACTGAATGGCCGCCATAGCTACCCAATGACCCAGAAGTTTTATGATAATTTAGGGTTAGGCAACTGGGGTTCAAATTTCAGTTAAGGTTGATATGCAGAGAGAACTGAACTGGAATTTAATTCACGTAGTACTGTATACAGTTGCCATACATGGAAGCCCATGGAGGTATATTAGACTGGCACTTCTCCTGGACAAACCATGTAATACATGTTTTTTACCCTGGGTCGGTAAAATGGTTAATATTGATTTGTCTCGACGTAAATCCTTCGGTTGTCTAACACGTGTTGTACACAAAAGTTCCTGAGCAAAATTAAAACCACGACATGCGACACCACAAAGGGAAATGAACATAGGAAAAAACACAACCAGCTCGAGTGAAATGAAATATATAATTTTACTCTCCTAACACAACACATGAATGGTTTCGTTTCAAAAAGCGTTTTGAAGTAAGATAGCAGTTGCAGGACATGGAACAAGATACCTTTTTTCCTAATCTTCGCGATATTGCTTTCCCAGTGTTTGTTCGCCAAACGTATTTAAAAAAACTCACATAACTCAGACGATAGTCTGCCGATTAATTGTCTCAGTTCTGCAAACCAACAGTGTGTTCAGCCGGTTTCTGTTACTGTCTTCTTCTTTTAACTCCAAATTATCAGTGAATCCAAGTTGAGTGAAGTGGTGCATTTTCAAAACATCCCAAAGAAGCCACTCTCTGGAGAGAGCTCAGGAAGTAAAACTTCTCCCCCATGGAGCGGTGAGGGACAAAAATTCGTTATGAGCATTAGCAGTGATATTTGTAACTTCTGCATATGCGCAACCGGATGTCAGAAATTTTCTGACGTCCGGTAACGGCTGCTTCCAGAGCCCCTCGTTTCCCGACCACGTGACCAAGAAACGACGGGCTCTGGGGACGAGAATGGGCCCGTACGCGAACGATACCTTAGTTTTATGCCTGCTTCTTTCTAAGACAGGTTAGTAGCGTCACTGGGCTACCTTCCGGGTACGCATCTGTTATGTCTTTCAACGCACATACTTAACGACTGCAAGTCAATGTCACCTTTCGTTTAATCGAACTGACTGACTTTCTGATTCACAAATCGGACTAGCCGAGGCAGGGGAAAATGGTAAGACCGGTCCCAGAACTTTGCATCTGGTGGGCAATTTCCTAATCATGCCTTGGACTCCTGCGTTCACTTGGCCCCTCACAGGGACCGAGGCTTGCAGACTTGTTTTCGGGTTTCGCGGTTTCACAATCTACTTCTAGTGTGTCCAAACCGAAGTCACTTTCCGTTTAATCTGTCGGACTGACGGACTGATTCACATAACGTGTTCTGGGGAGACGTTTAGACAGGATAAAAGGGCTCGTGGCTGTAATCTTGAGTTCATACTGTTTCACCTTGCCACTGTTGTGTCTTCTTCTTCCCTAGAGAACGATGAGTGACGATAGTGACCATTTCTCGGACAGTGGGGATGAGTGGTGTGCTCAAGCCGTGGAGGAAGAGGAACAACGGGGAGCTGGTCACGTATTTCGCTTCCATCTGGCCCCCGGTACTGATCGTCGCCTGCGGAATTTTCAGCTTCGTCGCCGCGTGTTTGATGGTCGGTTGGAGTTCAACCCGGAGGTGTTGCGGGTGCCTGATTACAATGTGGGGCACGAAGTGGAAGCAGCGCTTCAACGTTCCCTGGACGAACGGATCCGGGAAGAAAGATTACGGGAGGAGGACTATGTGCATTTTTCCCTGCAACATCCCACCTTTGTGCACGCCTTTCACTCCGTAACGTTTCCCGTTCAGGAATGGAATGCCCGCAGCGAGCGAGTCAATGGACAGTTGCAACGATTGGCTGACAAATTGAATTCCAACGAACAATTCGGTCCAAACGACCAATTGCAGGTGCAACTGACCACCGTGCGCATGCAAGACCGAGGTGCAGGAGGGCGAAAGGAAAAGCGACCGGGTGTTCTCCCTTACGAGTACGTATTGAAGAAGCGGAGCGTTATCATCATTCAAAACACGGACGAACTGTGCTGCGCTCGCGCTCTCGTTACTATGCGGGCGTGGACCGACGAGCAATTACCGAGGCAACGTACTCCGGAAATAGCTTATACAACTTTACGGAGAGGCCATTCAGCTCAAGAGCGATTGGCCAAGCGATTGCACGCGGACGCGCGCGTACCCGAAGGCCCTTGCGGGTTGAGCGAACTCACCCTCTTTCAAATTGTCCTATCGGACTATCACATCAAAGTCTTTGGAGCAGAGCAGGGCTATCAAGTAATCTTTGGCCATGGCGAAAAACGAGCTGAACAGCGGTACATTTTTCTGTTGAAAAAGGATCACCATTATCACGGATTGACGTCCATTCCGGCGTTTGCGGGTCGCAGTTATTATTGTCATCTCTGCGACAAAGGGTACGACCACGAGGACTTTGACAATCACCCTTGCATCAAGAGTCGCTGTGTCGCCTGCAAGCAGAAAGATTGTGCAGACTACAAGCGAAGTCTCCCTGTAGAAGGCACCATTCCCCGGCCTACGCAGGCCCCCTGCAATGTTTGCTGTCGCTCGTTTTACGGAGAGCGTTGTCTGGAACAACACCGACGGTGCTCCCCCGATGGGAAAGTGGCGAATCGCAGAGGTAGTGCCGTGTGCGCGTACCTGTACACATGCAAGTCTTGTCGCAAACAGGTGAACTTGTGGCGGAAACGTCACCAAAGTCAGCGACCACACAAGTGCGGAGAATTTTACTGCAAGACCTGCAACAACTTTGCCATGGCGGATGAACACCAGTGTTTCATCCCCAGAGTCTTGGAGAATGATCAGGTGAACGTGGTGGGACCTCCAGCCGCCAAACGTCCGCGACGCGGGATGGCGCATGCCCTTCAGGTCCTTGAGAGTAACAAGCGACGGGACAGCGACGAGCACGCCGAGGAGGAGGGTCGTGCGCTTCCGCCGTATTTCGTGTACGCGGATTATGAGTGCACGCAGGACGAACGAGAACACGTGCCAATTCTCATCTGCGCGGCTGGGGAAGATATCGAGGACCCCTTGGTGTTTTACGGGGGGGATTGCACGGCAGCCTTTTACGACTGGGTGCAGCAAAAGACGAAGGTGCTGGATCGCCCGCGAGAAGTCATCATCCTCTTCCATAATTTAAAGGGGTACGATGGAATATTTGTCCTCAAGTACCTCTACGATCAGCGGTGCGAGGTAAGAGATCAGATCTCTGTGGGGACAAAGACCTTAAGCCTAAGGAGCGGTCGTCTGACCTTCAAGGACAGTCTCTGTTTTTTACCGTTCCCTCTGTCTGCCTTTGCTGATACCTTTGGTCTCCAGGAGGACAAAAAAGGCTTCTTTCCTCACTTGTTTAATACGAAGACCAACCAAGACTATGTGGGACCTTGGCCGGATCGCAACCATTATGATCCCGACAGCATGATGCCATCGAAACGCCGTGAATTCGACGCGTGGTACGACAAAGTCAAAGACCTTCAGTTTAACCTGTACGAGGAGATGGTGGCATACTGCAAGTCGGACATCAAAGTGCTAAAAGCCGGCTGCGAGATCTTTGTCCGCGAGTTTGAGAGCAAGGCAGATTTTAATCCCCTGGCCAAGTGCGTGACCATCGCGTCGGCATGCATGCGGTATTACCGTAAACTGGTCATGCCCAGCAACCTCCTTGCCCTGGAACCCCCGTGGGGATGGTCGGGAAAACGTGGACGGCAATCCCACAAGGCCCATCAGTGGTTGGAATGGTGCAACCACCGGTTGATGGAGAAGGACACATCCCCCCGCATTCGTCATGCCTTCAACGGTGGCGAGCAGACCCTTCTTGTCGAAGGTCGGCGGGTACAAGTGGATGGGTTCGACGCTACAGCCAACACAGTGTACGAATTTCACGGTTGTTTGTGGCACGGTTGCCCACGTTGTTATCCGGGCAGCATGAACAAGACTACACGGGTTCATCCCGACCGCACCAAACAGGAGGTCTACCAAGCCACGTGTGCCAAAGAAACCTCCCTACGTATGGCGGGGTATATGGTCGTCGTGGAATGGGAGTGTGTTTGGGATCGTCGCCTACAGGTAGATGCGGACCTGCAAGCCTTCTTGCAAGGACGCACCTTTCAAGTTCCTTCATTGAACCCTCGCGATGCCTTTTTCGGCGGCCGAACTAACGCCTGCCAGTTGTATGCGGAGGCGGATGTGAACCAGGGAGAGGAAATCCGCTACGTGGATGTGACCTCCCTGTACCCGACAGTCAACAAGTACGACACGTTCCCCGTCAAGTATCCGCAGATTATCACCCAGCCCGTGCAAGACATTCAACGTTACTTTGGCATCGCGGACTGCACCGTGGTACCGCCCATGTACTTGTATCATCCCGTCCTTCCTTATCGTTGCGGTGGTAAAGTTACCTTCCCACTCTGCCGGCAGTGTGTGGAAGAAGAACTCCCCAAACCGCTGACCGAACGCTCGTGGGTCTGCAAACATAAACGGACCCAGCGGTCAATTCGCGGCACCTGGTGTACCCCAGAGCTGATAAAAGCCCAAGAAAAAGGTTATGAGATCCTTCAGATTCACGAGGTATACCACTTCCCTCCCGAGCAGCGGAAAACTGGGCTTTTTTCGGACTACATAAACACGTGGCTCAAAGACAAGACAGAGGCTTCTGGCTGGCCCCCTAACGCTGATGGGAGTGTTAAGAGCATGGAGGAAAAGCGGGAGTTCATATTGGCTTACCAGGAGAGAGAGGGTATCCGCTTGGACATCCCCAGCATGGTCAAGAATAAAGGCAAGAAAGCCACCGCCAAGCTAGCATTGAATTCCTTCTGGGGAAAATTTGGAGAGAGGGAAAACAAGCAAAAAGTGGTGCAGGTTACCAACCCGTCGAAATTGTACGAGCTGGTCAAAGATGAGACGGTGAACATCCACGCATTCCGCATCATGAACGACGAGTGCTTGGAAGTCTCCTTTGACAAGTTGGACGAGGATGCTGCGGGCGGCAAGACCACCAACATCTTTATTGCGGCCTTCACCACCTGTTGGGCTCGTCTCCGCCTTTACCATCACCTGGACACCGTCGAACGGAACGCCTTGTACTTTGACACAGATTCCGTCATCTACAAGTGGTGGCCTGGTCAGCCCGAGATTCCCTTGGGAAACTTCTTGGGGGACATGACCGACGAACTGGATCCGGGCGATGGCACCCGGGACTTTATCGTGGAATTCGTGTCCTGTGGCCCCAAGAATTATGGGTACCGCACCAACAAGGGCAACACCGAGGTCAAGGTGCGGGGATTCACCCTCAACGTGCGTGGACAGGAACATTTACATTTTGATAGTATGAAGCACACGCTGATGGCGGAGGTGCTCGATCCCCAGAAAAAGAAACGTAAAATCACGGTCCCTGTCCCCTTCTTCATCCGCCGTGACGCCATCAACAAGACCTTGACCACGGTTGAAAGAGACAAGACCTGGGGGGTGGTCTTCGATAAGCGGGTCGTTTCTCAGGACGAGGACTTCAACACCCTCCCGTACGGGTATGCCTGGTACGAGCCCAAAGAGGACAAGGACGATCACGAGTGAATTGGAACCTGGACTTGCAAATAAAACAATTGTAACGGCTGGTTTTCCCGTGTGGTTTTCCCGTTACCGCTTGTAAATAGGGATTGTCCACATAAGTCATCTCACTTTACGTCCGATCTAGTAGTAGAGTTCGGCTGTTCGCGGCTTTTTTTATCGATTAGTTGACGAGTTAATTACAAAACAATATAATGGACACGTGCATTGTGTTTTAATTGCTCCCAAACTGTACCAGAATTTGAAAAAAAGAATAAGCAATATATCTTTTATGGAAAACAGTTTGATTTTATTCTAGTAGTAGTAGTAGTAGTAGTATACCTCGCTACCTACGACAAAGAGCCAATCACAGAGCAGGATTTTTCAAATGGACCAATCAGTGCGAAGGGATTGATATGACGCAATAACGGTCGTCCAAAATACCACGTGACTCATTCAAATGGGCCAATCAGAAACCTGGATGGAAGCGAGGCTGACCCATTCAAACGGACCAATCAGAAACCTGGATCGAAACGAGGCTGACGTGACGCTTGGACTTGACGTCACGTCATGCAAGTGTCACTCAAGGAGACAATTTCCTGTCAACCTTTCAAGAGTTGACCAATCACAGCCTTTCTGGTGGAAATTGACCAATAACTGTTTGTCACGTGGGAGGGGCGGAGCATTCTTTTTGTTATTAGTAGCTGTCTGGCTAGAACGTCCTCATTTTTATCAAGATGGAGAAAGGTGATGATGCTTCATGTCAGAGAGAACGATAAAGATATTAGTAACCTTTGAAATTGCCAAGCACAGGCTATAAGCAGGGGAACAGTTTTATCTTTACCCAGGTGCTCTCCGGTACTAGCCTGGAGCAACGCAAAGAATAGGTAAAGATCGGTGTCAATAATTCTTAAAGTTGCTCGCTTCCATGGTAGAAAGGCTGCAGGTCGGTCATAACCCACCCTTAACGTCACGTCACGCAAAATTGGAATTATCACGCCGTATGTTATTCTTTTTACCAAACGTTTAATAGTAACAGGTTTTAACAACTTAAAATAAAATGTAAAGCCTTTTTTGTTACAATGCTTATTCAACGATCGTTAAAACAACGTCTTCAATGATGAACCCACAACTCCTCACTCCTTTCCAATCTTTTAGCCTTCTTCCATTAGATGGTTGGAAATGCTGTAATCAGTTTATGGTTTGTGGTGTCATATATGACTGTCACTGTATAACAGGCATCCTTTGACAACCCATGCACTCCAACTATTTCAGAAAAGGTCTTTTGTCTCACTCCTCTCTTGTGTAATTTTCTGTGCGGCATTGACCTGTCTGGCCTTTTCATTGTCTCTTGAACTAATTGGTTGTAAATAAAACCTTTGTCATTGCTGACAAAATAACTTTTATCCCGTCGCTGGCTGTGTGCCATGTGATGTCTTTCAATATGTTCCATAACATCAATCTTTTCTGGGGAAGTATCTACGCAAACATCCCCCTGCTTGTAGCCTGTGCTTGGCAATTTCAAAGGGTAGTAATATCTTTGACGTTCTCTCTGACATGAAGCATCATCACCTTCTTCCATCTTGATAAAATGAGGACGTTCTAGCCAGACAGCTACTAATAACAAAAAGAATGCTCCGCCCCTCCCACGTGACAAACAGTTATTGGTCAATTTCCACCAGAAAGGCTGTGATTGGTCAACTCTTGAAAGGTTGACAGGAAATTGTCTCCTTGAGTGACACTTGCATGACGTGACGTCAAGTCCAAGCGTCACGTCAGCCTCGTTTCGATCCAGGTTTCTGATTGGTCCGTTTGAATGGGTCAGCCTCGCTTCCATCCAGGTTTCTGATTGGCCCATTTGAATGAGTCACGTGGTATTTTGGACGACCGTTATTGCGTCATATCAATCCCTTCGCACTGATTGGTCCATTTGAAAAATCCTGCTCTGTGATTGGCTCTTTGTCGTAGGTAGCGAGGTATACTACTACTGTGGTGTGAAAAGTTTAAGTAATGAATGCTTCAACAAACAGTAAAAAATGGGCGCGGATATCAAGCAGCACCCTTTTTTTGCCCTTTTAACGCGATAAGATGCGGTTTCTTTAACAAACGTTCCTGCGATAAATCCTGAGATGATGTTCTGTATAGGTTTGCTTGACTTGGTAACAAAATTCCAGAGGGAAAAGTAAGACTGATGGGAGAGAATGTATGAGGGCTACTAAAAATTCGATCTGATCGCATATCGTGTACCCATGGATAATAGAAAGACTGGATAGGAAACTGGCTGACGCGATCGGTTCCAACATTCAGGGCGGAAAAACGTAATGAGCATGCGTGAACTTTTTTGCCCAGATCCCCTGGCCGGGTTTGAAAAAATGGCGGGATTTCAAATATTTTATTGCCTGAAACAAAATGTTTCCACTCATAACCTGGAAAGAACAGGCAATTTGTCTTCAAAAGTTGCAAGCTGTGGTTATAACCTTGTCGTTACTTAGTTTTCTCGAAGAAAACCTCATAGTAAAACGGACTTTAACGACATTAATTTCCTTGCGTTGTACTGGAAATGTGTATGCGTAGGTGCGTTTTTTTTTTTTCAAGATGCATTCACAAAATGTGTTCATATAAGGAAGTTCCTGGATATATAAGGTCTGGAGCTCCACTGTGGACACAAAAACAACATATCTTTCGACAGTGATTTGCCCCAAAAAATTAACGCTTGCCCACAATGTGTTTGAAGTCACTGAACTTTGTCGCACTCGAGCTGATATTTTAAAACCCTAGCTCGATCGGACACTCGTAGTTTCGCAGATCACTAAAATATAAGCAAAATCCTCAATGTAGAAGTTATTGCGTTGATATGTGGGCAGAAAATGGTCAATCTTTATCTAGTAAAATCTTCCCAAAAATCGTTTTCAAAGCAACTATTGTTTTTAAACTTGCTCGGTTTGCGCAGATATATAAATTTTGCTTTGTGTTGTCAAGTTGAACACGCATAACATCTGTCAAAACCTATGCATAAATAGGATTTCCTTCAAACAAAGTTAAGGTTACATTATTTCTAAAACTTCTTGCTGACAATGAAGAGATGAATTTTCTGTGCGAAAACCACCTGCCTAAAGATCTTAAAAGCAAAAGATCAGTTGGTTCAGTTGCAACTTGGCAGCCAAGCCACGATTCACCATTTAGCTATTTTCAATATAATAAGCTTAACTGGTCCATGCGAGGGTCGTCGTTTAAGCAAATTAAACTCAGCCGATCATTAGAGAATACAGAAAATTGCGCACTGAAGGGTTTGTTTTGCTCGCCTCAGTCAAATCAAGCTGCAGAGATTGTTTACGGGAAAAGAGTCAATTGTTTTGAAGTCACTGCCGGCAGTTATCGTTCTCTACTTCACAGCGAGTGAGAAGGACAATTTGCGTACAGAAAGTTATTCGTATAAAGAACAGAAACTTTCACAGTGCACTGGAAAACAAAACTATGTAATGAAAAATGAAAAAAACTCTGACTATTATTACTTGAGCAACAGAAACATGATCTTGAGTAAGCTTGATGGCCTTCTATTTCCGAGAAAGTTTAGTAAGCGCACAAGTTTGTTCACTCTGATGCGTTATAACAGCAATATGGTTCTTTGACTGAAGACAAAGATAAAGCTAGTTCTGCAAAGGTAATAAATCTGGGCATGTAAAAAAAAAGTAACCGTAACTACTAATAACAGAATACAAGAGGGTCTTAATTGAACCCGGCGAAACCTGACTCATAAATTAATCGGATGCACAATCAGAAAAATACTCGCCTCTTAAGAAATGTTCAAAACCTTTTATTCCACCTCAGACTGACGGAATGATCCGTTTTTCCTTTAACATTGGTTGTTCTGAATCCAGAGTAATTTTCAAGCGACGAAAAGAAAGCAAACATTTCAAATAAAAATACTTTACAGGAAGCAAAGGTTCGCACCTCGTGCATTTCACTCAGAACTCCAAACAAACAAACACACTCAACACACAGAAAAGCCCGCCTTGAGCCTGCGATAAGGGATGCGCAGAAGCTTGCGCAGAACGTTTTTTCGCCCTGAAGTTCCAACATAGTGGGAAAATGTGACGTCACATTTTCGAGAGCCATTCAACCTCTTACTCCGATGTTTTGCGCGTTTTACTTTTCATCGCATGTTTCATATCTCTGTCTTCGACTATACAGATTGCCCATGTTTTTAAGTAAAAAAATGAAGAGTACTTGCTCTTGGAGAAAACAGTCAGATGGTACAAAACCGGTAGAGGCAAAAGACAGAGTAGATGATTATGAAACTTGTGAGAGCGAAGAATGACTCCAGCGCCCGATAATTTTATGCACCAAACCGGAAGCCTAACCACATAAAAACTATGCGAAAACTTATATGTATACGGCTACAAAACACCTATAAAAAAGGCACAGCCTAATTTTTTACAAACCGCAAGAAAACCGAAAATAATTTTAACTCATTTTATCAAGGTTTGACGATTTCTTTTCTGCTTTTATCGACAAGCTCAACGAGTGTCGAATTTTATAAGTTAACAACACTTGACAAAATGATTTTATTAGTGGTAAAAGTACCCAGCTCAAATAAGCGTTTAATTTTCCCTTCAATTTTATTTACGGACAATCAGTGATGAGAAGCAGTATTTGAGAAATGTAAAAAAGCGGGGAAAAGCTCACAGCAGAGAAAGGAAATTTGCTTGCGGTCCACCGTGGAAACGCCGTTTCTAACTTTTTCAAATCAATTTTCATATTGAAGCAAGTTGTTTTGTTATTTTTAGGTATAAATGTACAATGACCCAAGGTACTTTTCAGTCAGGTCTTTGAAAAAGCGAACTGCAACGCTTTTAAAAATGTTATGTAAAACGGTTATTTGTTAACTACTAGAATAAAGCAAATTCTCCTGNTGCACAATCAGAAAAATACTCGCCTCTTAAGAAATGTTCAAAACCTTTTATTCCACCTCAGACTGACGGAATGATCCGTTTTTCCTTTAACATTGGTTGTTCTGAATCCAGAGTAATTTTCAAGCGACGAAAAGAAAGCAAACATTTCAAATAAAAATACTTTACAGGAAGCAAAGGTTCGCACCTCGTGCATTTCACTCAGAACTCCAAACAAACAAACACACTCAACACACAGAAAAGCCCGCCTTGAGCCTGCGATAAGGGATGCGCAGAAGCTTGCGCAGAACGTTTTTTCGCCCTGAAGTTCCAACATAGTGGGAAAATGTGACGTCACATTTTCGAGAGCCATTCAACCTCTTACTCCGATGTTTTGCGCGTTTTACTTTTCATCGCATGTTTCATATCTCTGTCTTCGACTATACAGATTGCCCATGTTTTTAAGTAAAAAAATGAAGAGTACTTGCTCTTGGAGAAAACAGTCAGATGGTACAAAACCGGTAGAGGCAAAAGACAGAGTAGATGATTATGAAACTTGTGAGAGCGAAGAATGACTCCAGCGCCCGATAATTTTATGCACCAAACCGGAAGCCTAACCACATAAAAACTATGCGAAAACTTATATGTATACGGCTACAAAACACCTATAAAAAAGGCACAGCCTAATTTTTTACAAACCGCAAGAAAACCGAAAATAATTTTAACTCATTTTATCAAGGTTTGACGATTTCTTTTCTGCTTTTATCGACAAGCTCAACGAGTGTCGAATTTTATAAGTTAACAACACTTGACAAAATGATTTTATTAGTGGTAAAAGTACCCAGCTCAAATAAGCGTTTAATTTTCCCTTCAATTTTATTTACGGACAATCAGTGATGAGAAGCAGTATTTGAGAAATGTAAAAAAGCGGGGAAAAGCTCACAGCAGAGAAAGGAAATTTGCTTGCGGTCCACCGTGGAAACGCCGTTTCTAACTTTTTCAAATCAATTTTCATATTGAAGCAAGTTGTTTTGTTATTTTTAGGTATAAATGTACAATGACCCAAGGTACTTTTCAGTCAGGTCTTTGAAAAAGCGAACTGCAACGCTTTTAAAAATGTTATGTAAAACGGTTATTTGTTAACTACTAGAATAAAGCAAATTCTCCTGGTTAATAGTAGAACCTTCACTTCCTTTTCACGAGGAAACACTTGTCTTCCATAAGGCTTAATAAAGCTTAGAAATATATTATCTTTGAAATACTGACCTTTTTTAGGATGAAACAACCTTTAAGTTTTTGTGTTTGTAGTTAATGGATAGGGAATACTGTAAATCACCTCTGAAATAAACATAAACAATGTTCCCAAAGAAAAATAGAAGCTGCTTATATATGTATAAAAAACAGTAACATCAGTCATACCCCCAAAAAGGTACAGGTATATGTTTTATTAATTTGATTTAGAATATATCTTTGTAAGGTTTATCATGTACAGGTACTTTGCTGCCTTGGATCTCTGAAAAATCGAATACAATAATAGTGCTAATCAAGTCCATCTTCGGTTGGAAGAACAATGGGATTCGGATACGCCGTTTCAAGAAGAACACTAACCGACTTAGCTGCTAACTTAAAGACATGACTCTGTAGCTAATACAGGCATTGACCCTTAAACACAGTTAATTTGTCCCAGTCACAAAGAAGTAATAAATACACTTCAGAAGTGACAAATAAAGCTTCTGATAATAAATAATTTAGATGCCACCTTCTGGCTCTCATGCATGACAAAAGCAACTTTGTTGCTGTTTAATACAGAAAGATTGATTGATTCGTGCCCTCTCAGAAGAGTACTTGACCACAATTTTACTGTCTCCATTGACTATGCGTGTTCAGCAAATCCTACAATAAAGATAAACAAAAGGAAAACTAAAACACTGTTTAAAAAATAACAACAACACTTAGGAGCCTAAACGAAGGACAAAAAAGTCAGTAGGTGTTTTCCCATTGATGCTACAATTATTTATAGTTTATGTAAGGAAAAAGTACAAAAATTATTCGAGTCTCTTCAGTTCCTTCGAATACAAGCTGCGAGGAGCGACGTGAGGCGATTGTATTCACTGGATATGTAATTTAGTAGTTTAATTTCAACATTAAAAGATGAGCGAAATGAACATACTGCTTTACGAACAATTAGCAGGGTTAATCCAGGATATTACTTGAGAAACAGTTCTCAACACAAACTAGTCTTTCGATTGGAACTGTACACACCGTGTGCGTACACTCGCTCGGCGCCAGCTCCGAATGTAGTTAGTTTCAGCCATTTTCAATCGAAATTTATGGCTGAAAAGTAACAGCATTCAGTCTGTAACTATGCCTATGCCACAATTCCAACATCTGTCAATCGTAGTTAAGAATAGGAACAAGAAGAAACCTTCATAACAAAGGCGTCCCAAAACAGTCGCCAAGTGTACTAAATATGGCTCTAGTAAGGTCAATTTTTGGGACGCAATTTTCTCAAAGACAAGGACAAATAACACAAAACAACAACAAGAAGTGCTTACCTTGAAGGTTCAAGTGTGGCTATGAAGGATTGCCATCGCGGGTCTATCGCCGTAAGACAACAAACGAAGGGAAAACACACACACCAAAAAATAAAGTACCACTAAGCAATCCGAAAAAGAACAACATGCAGGCAAAGAAACCCCACAGTTCCACTGGTTTTAACTACATTTTCGCCATCGTTTCGTCACAAATTTCCACTATAATACAACCATCAAACGCCATCTTAGAGCCCGAACCAACCAATCGGCGATAAGGAATCAGCCCACGTGACAAAAGTTTCCCTATTATTCATGGTGTACCTCGACAAAAAAGAATGAATGTAACTGAATTTACCACTCTAAGAAAACCCAAGCATTATTTTATCTCGACCTTGTTTATAACCTGAGTATCAGGCTTTCTTTTCTGGTTTTGGTACTTGTTTACTACGGAAAGTGGCTTTACTTTTTAGATCCTTGAAAAACGTTGTTATGATAACAGTGTTGCGGACAATCATTTTTTTTAAAAAAATTGTAATTTATGACATCAGACGCTATGTTATAAAATTAAGAAAAAAGCAATTTTTCTTTCCTAACAAGTCAAATGTTTCATTGGTACTCCTCAGCAATGTTTTCTGATCACGCGTTGGCCTTATCTTTTGCTTGATTTGTATTTCAGGAAGGGGGGAGTATAAACAAGTCCTTGCGCACCCTCGGTAAAGCGATCTCGCTGCTGTCTGACAGTGAAACCCATACAAAAAAGAAATTATACATTCCTTACCGAGATTCCACCCTAACTTGGTGAATAAACTAAAGCGCTCAAGCATGTTGTCTTCATCTCAAATTAATCCGCTTGTTAAGAACTGACCTAAATGCATGTCATCCTAATTTGCCCCTAATTCCCTTCTAGCATAGGCCTCCGCTAGCACTGAGTGCCCCTAAAGGTGCCGTAATACTGGAGACGAACCCGTGCAAGTTTTCGCGCAACACGCTTATTCTACGGGTTTAATGGCCCATAGCGATGTCTCTTGTTGCACTACCAGTGCGCTCCATGCTTAACTTCTTGAGCAACATCTTGTTGCGGCAACGTTTCTCAGAAAGGAGGACAGCCTTATACCTTGCGCAACAAACTTTACAATCTGAAACAAAGGCGAGGCATTCTCGCGCCGTTGGTCCGTGCGAAAAGTTGTACGAGTCTATTGCCCGTATTACTGCGTTAAAATAGAAACATGTGCTTGCGTTACAACATATTAGGAATCAGATTCTTGAACGAATAATTCCCTGAAATGAATAATTAGCCTGATTAAAAATGAGTGTTGGTTAATAATACAGGGCGTGCGATTGTAGCTCTATTTCTTTGTAACTAACGTGTTTTGTTTTTTAGATATGGTGATAATACTTGGCCTGTTAATATTGTTATTCACATATAATTTTATTTTTCTTTCAGGTTGTTATTAGATAGTTTGAGAGGTAACTATAAAACAACAATGATTGCTAACATTAGTCCAGCAAGTATATCATTTGGAGAGTCTCTAAGCACACTACGATATCCTTTTACAAACCAGTTTATCACTCCCCACCGCCCCCTCCCCAACCCCACCCCTCCTCCTTGGCGAGCGAGTAAACGATGTAGGTACGATTGTAGGAAAAAGACATAATATAAAGACGACATTCCAATATCCCATTGTACCAAGCATTCTTCCAGATCAATACTTTCGCGTACTCGGATTATTTGCCGTTTTTCATTACTTGACCATTAACAAATATGCTCAAAGAGCCCGTACGATTGTCAACAGAGCAATTATCAATGAAGATCCAAATGCAAAGATCATCAGAGGTTTGTTGGATTTATTTTAATCTCTCTAATCTCATTCTCCCCATCCGAATAATTAGCTGGGATGACAGCAAGGGCTGAGGATTTCCCCTGGCTTTTATGTGTGTAACTCTCGGTTACTTCCAGGAAACAAAAGGAAAATTCATAGAACCAAAAGAACTTCTAGCTGTTCAAATGCCCGCCTACTATTAACTGCATAAACCCGGCAACTCCGGCGAAATGTTTTGACAGCCCTGATACTGATATCAAATAATGGACTTTCTATTCTACTAGATAGCAAACCACTCCTGATGGTAAACTGAAATGTAACCCATGCCCAAGGTATATCGTTCAGATTTCAGACTTGTGCTTTCTTTTTGGTGACTGTAAACTATATTAAGATGAAAACCACGTGATCTTTCAGACGAAACGGTGGCTCTAACAATCTGGATGATCTAAATAAGTAAACATAGATTGTCTAAGATGCCGTCTGCTAGGATGAACAACAGGTGTACCACACGGTTCAAATTAAACAACGCTCTCCACCTTCCTATGTTTCAAAAAGGGGGTTACAAGAAAACCCAGACATTTATTTTTCCTTTTTTCTAGAGTTAAAAGCCGAGATAGAGAGACTAAAACTCAGTGAGGGAAACCAAGAGATAAGTGCTAGAGCCTTGGCAGAAGTTGCTCTCTTGAGAGAAAAACTTAAAGAAACCCAGCGTATGCTGGCCGAATCAACTCGGTAAGTGCTGTATGAAACCCAACCACATAATCACTGGCAAGTCTCTGCGCTGTAAAATAGACACCAATAGACAAGCTAACTAAAGCAACAGTGTATAACTTTCCTTTTTCGTTAGAAACTGGCAAGAAAAACTTGCTTTAACAGAGAAGAGGAAATCGGAAGAGGCAGAAAAACTCAAGGTAATGGAAAATACAAAAAACGTGTGCTAGGCACGCACATTTTTTGTTTGATGTTGGATCGAGCAAATATCGCCGCAAGCGTTTTCTTTGTCGTTTTCCCATGCTATGTACTGTCAACCTTTCAAGAGTTGACCAATCACAGCCTTTCTGGTGGAAATTGACCAATAACTGTTTGTCACGTGGGAGGGGCGGAGCATTCTTTTTGTTATTAGTAGCTGTCTGGCTAGAACGTCCTCATTTTTATCAAGATGGAGAAAGGTGATGATGCTTCATGTCAGAGAGAACGATAAAGATATTAGTAACCTTTGAAATTGCCAAGCACAGGCTATAAGCAGGGGAACAGTTTTATCTTTACCCAGGTGCTCTCCGGTACTAGCCTGGAGCAACGCAAAGAATAGGTAAAGATCGGTGTCAATAATTCTTAAAGTTGCTCGCTTCCATGGTAGAAAGGCTGCAGGTCGGTCATAACCCACCCTTAACGTCACGTCACGCAAAATTGGAATTATCACGCCGTATGTTATTCTTTTTACCAAACGTTTAATAGTAACAGGTTTTAACAACTTAAAATAAAATGTAAAGCCTTTTTTGTTACAATGCTTATTCAACGATCGTTAAAACAACGTCTTCAATGATGAACCCACAACTCCTCACTCCTTTCCAATCTTTTAGCCTTCTTCCATTAGATGGTTGGAAATGCTGTAATCAGTTTATGGTTTGTGGTGTCATATATGACTGTCACTGTATAACAGGCATCCTTTGACAACCCATGCACTCCAACTATTTCAGAAAAGGTCTTTTGTCTCACTCCTCTCTTGTGTAATTTTCTGTGCGGCATTGACCTGTCTGGCCTTTTCATTGTCTCTTGAACTAATTGGTTGTAAATAAAACCTTTGTCATTGCTGACAAAATAACTTTTATCCCGTCGCTGGCTGTGTGCCATGTGATGTCTTTCAATATGTTCCATAACATCAATCTTTTCTGGGGAAGTATCTACGCAAACATCCCCCTGCTTGTAGCCTGTGCTTGGCAATTTCAAAGGGTAGTAATATCTTTGACGTTCTCTCTGACATGAAGCATCATCACCTTCTTCCATCTTGATAAAATGAGGACGTTCTAGCCAGACAGCTACTAATAACAAAAAGAATGCTCCGCCCCTCCCACGTGACAAACAGTTATTGGTCAATTTCCACCAGAAAGGCTGTGATTGGTCAACTCTTGAAAGGTTGACAG